CGTTCATGGCTGCACAAATAAGATTTCTTGTTTAACTAACTGCTACTGACAATCGTTGCATAATAGAAAATGAATGAAAAGACTCCTTAATTTAAACAACATGAGTTTGTTCGGGTGAACTTCAAAGAGATAAACCTTTAAAATATCTGTTCATGAAGTGTTAAAGTCTTTAAATGTGATTTTTCACACTTAAATGTAGAAATCCAGTATATCCTCTGAAAATAACTCTGTGAGTCATGACTGTCTACAATGGGTGTAACACCCGAGTCCCACTGTCTGTGATGTTTTCAGAGTTTTCAGAGTCCTATCTTCACTTTGTTTACATCGCCCGGACGGCCGGCTGACTCCTCCCCTCGTGTATAAAAGTTGTTTAATTGAGGGACTAGAGAAAAGAAGAATAACATACTGTACTCACTGCTTAACTGTGTTTCTAGATCACGCTCATTTCAGGTAAATTTACATGCAGTGTGAAGATACCAGCATAATAAAGATCACTAGCATTAGCATGCTAACACAACAATGCAGCGCCAGTTGTTTTGGTTCATGCTGGTGCTCAAGGGCGACATCTGCTGGATCAAAACATCACATATAAAGCCTTTAAATGACTAAGAATTCTGGGACATGTAGTTGAAAACGCATTTGCCAATTCCGCCAAATGGACCAACACTGGTATTTGATTTGTTGGTTTGGTCCAAGTCTGGATGTTTACCTCTCAGACAGATGAAATGAAGATGTTCTTCACATGGAAGATCTCTCCAGTGAAAGGCGTGGCTGCTGTCCATGGCGCCACACGGACTGGTATTCTTCCAGAAGGACACTTTCTCCCAGTGGGAGTACTGCTCTGTAGCACCAGACATCCAAAACCAGGGGTCACTCATCAGATACCTATAAATGATGCAGAGATTTAAATTTAGAGGTAAAAAAATGACACGATCATTGAATTCTGTAAGGTCGAGTCCACAAACATTGGGAACATGAAGAACAGCAGCTTCTCCTGTGTTTGGCACTTTGTCACACACCCATGCTTCATCTCTGTGACTTTTGTTGAATTTATTGCGTTACCTGCGCAGGCCCAACCAAACATGTTTGGTGAGAGGGAAGGAGACGCTGCTCAACACCTTCTCCACCTCCCTCTGCTCGTCCTCACTTCGTATGCTGAGAAGGTCCCCGTAGAAGTCTCTGCAGTAGAACAGGGCATCGGACCAACACAGCTTCTTCTCCACCACTGCTACACGTCTGCCCATCACCACAGCATTGAAGGACGGACAAGGAGGAACTCTTTCTGGAAAAAGAGACAAACAGCAGATCTGGTTTTGGAGATGTGGCAACAAAGACATCCAAATCAAATATCAGTCATGTTTATATTCAATGTCTTTTATTTCTGGTTCAAGCTGGGTTTTAGTTTTGAAACGGTTATTCATGGCGCACTCACTCTAGTAAACTTGTCCCATACCATGCCTAAGCACAATTGCCCCCCCTCCCCATTCCCCCCCTCGTCTGCACTCACACTGCTCCAGGACTAACCAGGCCTGAGCACGGTTTCCTCTTGACTAACCTCCATAAGCTTCCAGCTCACACATTGTCAAAAACACATTTGGATTTGTGGAATAGTGTTTCACGTTGATCACTCGACCTATCATGCCTCCACAGTTGAAGGTGCTGGTACCGCCAGCTGGGATGGAGGTGATGACCGAGCATCTAGGAAACGAGAAAGGAATTAAATAATTATTTGTTTTAATAACAAAGAGTTTGGTAAATAGAGTGGAGAAAGTTTCCACTAGGCTTAACGATTATTTTGTTCAAAACACAAATGTAAAGTTTGAGATCAACTTGTCAATCCGTCTCAGTCCTCAGTTCTATTTCTGCCAGACCTGTCTCTGAACTTGGCATCTCAGGATCTGCCCTCTGCTGGTTCGTGACCTACCTCTCCTGGCGATCTTTCAGAGTGTGTTGGAAGGGGGGTAGTGTCCAAAGTGCACAGCTTATCCACAGGGGTACCTCAGGGCTTTGTGCCCGGTCCCCTTCTCTTCTCCATATACACAAGCTCACTTGGTTCAATAATCCGCTTTCATGGCTTCTCATGCCACTGCTATGCTGACGATACCCAGCTCTTCCTGTTATTCCCGCCAGACAATGTTACAGTCTCTGCAAGAATCTCATCATGCCTAGCTGATATCTCTAAATGGATGAATGAACGTCACCTTCAACTCGACCTTTCGAAGACTGAGCTCCTTCTCATCCCAGCCAGTCCCTCTATGCAACCACAGATAACTTTATAAACACTATAATCCAGGTCTACACTCCCTGATGATGAATGATGATGATGATGATGACAAGGGTTTTGATATTATTGATGATGATGGTAATGACGATGGTTTTGTTTGTATAATGATTAGAGCTCGCAAGAACTGCCGTCAGTGTTGTGCTTTGCATCTGTGCAATGCCTGTCAGCACCTGTGTGTCCAATCAGACTCGAAAATTATTGTTTGCACGGATACGGATCTTTCCTGTCTCGGGAAAATGAGGGCTGGATGCACGTCCATTAAAAAATACCACCAGGTTTCTAATGATACAAAGCTTAATGCAAATAGGTGAAGTATCCCTTTAAGAGCAAATATGTCTAGGGCCTGACTTCTGAACGGTTTCTGAAGACTAAACCAGATGAAACAACATTCTGAGCAATTTCTGGGTAACTTCAGAAAGTATTCAACGTACCAGGCAGATTAACTTTGAGGGGGAATCCATCATCCAATAAAAGTAGCTTGTTGCTTGTATTAGAATATGATAGCTCATGAAGAAGAAAGTACAACACTTTTTGGATTTACCTTGGGTTGTTGTTGCCGTTGTTCTGGAGGGAGTTTCCAATGAGGATCTGAGCACCATTGATCCTCCCAGCATTAGAGATTCTGTTGGTGATGTTGATATGTGTGATGTTGTACATGTGTGGCAGGACCAATCTCCACCAGTGGTCCGGTCCATACTTTGTATGGCTGCACGATCCAGCCTTCAGGTCTGGATTCCTATTCCCATCAATTACATTTGAAGCTGGACTGAAAGGGTATGTTGATGACTGAGACGCTGTTCCAAGAAGCGCCACATTTGGCAATGAGGAAGCTTGGAGGTGACAGACACAATAAGACTTTAACAGCTGTTGACTTGCACTCACCTCTCTATTATCAATACAATGTATGTTATTACACTATACCAGTTAGTTATAGTCTGCTCTATTTACACTGAACCCCTAACCCATGCTGAATGAGCTGGGCAACAACCCATGTCATCAACAAATGATCAAATGACAGATTAAGAACTGCTGAGTTTTAATATATTGAGGGAATTTATAGCTAATTTATTTACAACACTACTGTCAGGACGTTATCAGAAGTACTTGCAGTAATAACAGAGACCAACAACCGTGATCAAATATCAATGTCATTGTCCACAATAAGTGCATGTCATTGAGTCACACAGTTCAGTTCTGAGGTAAAAATGTGCAAAACACAAGTAATGACAAATAAAAAGCATAAATGAATCAGCTGGACTTTACCTTCGAGGGAGGCGGGGAGGAGCCATAACTGGAAGAGAATGACTTTAAAATAGAAGATGACTCATATTAACAAAACGCCGTACACAAAAGTAGGCAGTTTATCACTGTGACACATAGATTATTATACATGAAGCTAAATATATTTCATAAAGCTGAACTGTTCCTGCTGTACAGTAGACTCTGCTGCACAGAGTCTTGAACGTGGTGCATTGTGAAGGCTGACTTACAACTAAATCACTCTCGTAGCTGCATTCACATATTGTGCAGGGCAGATTAACCAGAACAAAACATGAATCATCAACATGACTTCTTGTCTCTGTAGTTAAAGCAAACCTCTGAAAAATGTAAGTAAAGTTCTTAGTTGAGGTTCTAATATTTTGATTCCCATACTTACAGTAAACTGCTGTGTAAGTCAGCATGCTTCCAACGTCTAGGTCACCTCCGTCTTTGTAAAATACCTGAGGCACATTTAGGATGTTTATCACCCCACAGGATTTCACTATTCAAATCTGCCAACGACTACTTTCCTCTGAATTAAGCTTATACAAATAAAACAATCCAAACAACCTCTGAGTCTCTCTCTGAAGGTTCCAGTCCCCACTCCTCCTGTTTGAATATACACAAATATTCTGATGATCTGCTGCAGGTGAGCACACCAGTACACACACACACACACACACACACACACACACACACACACACACACACACACTGCAGGTCCTCCGTGTCAGCATTATTGTTTTTTCTTTTGTGTAACCATCTTTGGATCCGACCGGTTTATTGTGTGCGACCTCGCCTTTGGCCTCTCTCTGGATACCTCCACCTGTGTGTTTGGATTTTCTGTGTACTCACCTGGCCCGATTAAAGGAACTGAACTTTGTCTTGTGTCTTTGTAATGGGGTCCATTATCTGGTTCAATGTGAGAAATCCATCATAGTCGCTCTTGTTTTTCAGTCTTTGTCATTAATGGATACAATTCTACAATTCACTGAGCAGACTCTTTTCTCCAAAGCGACGTACATCAGAGAGTAAGAACAACACAAGCAAGGATCTAGAAAAAAGGGAACAATGTGAGTAAGAGCAAACGATCAGCTTTGAGTCTGATTGGACACACAGGTGCTGACAGGAAGTGACCAGAGGTAAAGCACAACATTGAGGGCAGTTCTTGAGAGCTCTAATCAGTATAGAAACCATCTTATAAGTCGTCCTTATCAAACAGAAACCATCGTCATTACCATCATCATCATCAATAATATGGAGACCATCATCATTAAGTTAGTAGGTATTCATGAAAGAGCTGGCTCTTTAGCTTTTTCTTAAAGGTGCAGAGGGACTCTGCAGATCACATGGCGTTTGGAAGTTCATTCATGATACATCATGTAAATGTCACTTCAGCATCATCATAGACTCAGTGGCAGCTCATGCTTTATTTTACAGGGGAGGGGGGTGAAGTTTCTCACATATGGACTGGGATGTACATTTTAGTTACTCAGCTTGATGCTAACACATAGTAGTAATTGCCTTCAGAGGGCTAACTTATGATGTTTTTTGATGTGTTTAGTGTTGGGAAGGTGGTTTGATTTGCCTCTGCTGCTTGCTGAGGATTAACCAGGATGGTTGTGATTTGCATCCCTTCCTGCTGCGTGAGGCGTGGTCAATTTGAATTTGTACTTCAGTAAATCTGTAACGTGTAAAAAAAAAACACAGAAAACTTTGTAGAGAGAGTTTGAATTGGTAAAAAAATGAATGACCTTTTTTTCCTTATGATTGATGTGCACAGCTTCGACTCTCCTCATGATTGATGATTTCTGAGTAAAGAGACTAAATCATCAGGATCCTGGTGGGATAGTTCGGGGCTTGTGCCCTTTTTCTATCCATAGGGTGGTGGGGGTGGGGGGGGGTTCAGTTGTGGCAGCTGAGGCTGAGGGAGGCAGAGGACTCAGGTTACATGCAGACAATTAAATGAAAAATAAACAAATCATTCAAACTAAAAGGAAATGTGCGTGTGTGTCTGTGTAAAATGTATGTTGTCAATTCATCTTAGTGTGTGCATGATGTGTGATTTATGTTCAGGCAGCAGTGGTCGTGAGGACACTACTGGGGTATGGAGGGTTTAGTTGCAGGATAAATGACAGTTGGGTGATGACTGTTTGTTGTGCTTCCATGATGGATTCATTACTTTCATAGACATAGGATAGCATGGTTCCTGTAGGGACAGCTCAGGAGGTGTACATCTGTTGGAGGTTGATGTTCCCACTGTATTTGATCGCCGGACCTGTTTGAAAAAAGTTCTCGTATGGTCTTATTCGCGTTGAGCCTCTGCGGCTGCCGTAGCGCGGAAGTGACACAACAACAATAATCATCATGGTGCTGGAAAAGAAAGGCTCCGGTGGGTTTTACTTATTATTTATCTATCTGAAATATAAATAAAAACAAGTCTGCGCTGCTTTAAAGGTTAAGTAACCAGATAAAGGTTGGTTAAGGAGACGTAAACACGCGTTAGCTGCTTCTCTTTGTGTCGCATTGAAACAGATTAGCTCCAGAGCTAACTCATGAAGCGCTCACTTTAAACTCTAAACTCTAAACTTTAAACTTTAAACTCTAAACTGTAAACTGTAAACTCTATACTTTAAACTTTAAACTCTAAACTGTAAACTCTAAACTCTAAACTCTAAACTCTAAACTCTATACTTTAAACTGTAAACTGTAAACTCTATACTTTAAACTGTAAACTCTAAACTCTATACTTTAAACTGTAAACTCTATACTTTAAACTGTAAACTCTATACTTTAAACTGTAAACTGTAAACTCTATACTTTAAACTGTAAACTCTATACTTTAAACTGTAAACTCTATACTTAAACTGTAAACTGTAAACTGTAAACTCTAAACTCTATACTTTAAACTGTAAACTCTATACTTTAAACTGTAAACTGTAAACTGTAAACTCTATACTTTAAACTGTAAACTCTATACTTTAAACTGTAAACTGTAAACTGTAAACTCTATACTTTAAACTGTAAACTGTAAACTCTATACTTTAAACTCTAAACTCTAAACTCTAAACTGTAAACTGTAAACTCTATACTTTAAACTGTAAACTCTATACTTTAAACTGTAAACTGTAAACTGTAAACTCTATACTTTAAACTGTAAACTGTAAACTCTATACTTTAAACTGTAAACTCTATACTTTAAACTCTAAACTCTAAACTCTAAACTGTAAACTCTATACTTTAAACTGTAAACTGTAAACTCTATACTTTAAACTTTAAACTGTAAACTGTAAACTCTATACTTTAAACTGTAAACTGTAAACTTTAAACTTTAAACTCTATACTTTAAACTGTAAACTGTAAACTGTAAACTTTAAACTTTAAACTCTATACTTTAAACTGTAAACTGTAAACTGTAAACTCTATACTTTAAACTGTAAACTGTAAACTGTAAACTCTAAACTCTAAACTCTAAACTCTATACTTTAAACTGGAAACTGTAAACTCTAAACTCTATACTTTAAACTGTAAACTCTAAACTCTATACTTTAAACTGTAAACTGTAAACTCTATACTTTAAACTGTAAACTGTAAACTGTAAACTCTATACTTTAAACTCTAAACTCTAAACTCTAAACTCTATACTTTAAACTCTAAACTCTAAACTCTATACTTTAAACTCTAAACTCTAAACTCTATACTTTAAACTGTAAACTCTAAACTCTAAACTCTATACTTTAAACTGTAAACTCTAAACTCTAAACTCTATACTTTAAACTGTAAACTCTAAACTCTAAACTCTAAACTCTATACTTTAAACTGTAAACTGTAAACTCTAAACTCTATACTTTAAACTGTAAACTCTAAACTCTAAACTCTAAACTCTATACTTTAAACTGTAAACTCTAAACTCTAAACTCTATACTTTAAACTGTAAACTCTAAACTGTAAACTCT